TCGTTAGGGTATTGGTTATTATCTCTTTATTTTACATTCTTTCAGTTTTGTAAGGATGTCATAGGAATGCTTTATTTTTAAATAGCAAGGAAATGATATGAATATAGATTGGCAAGTGCTCTAAACAGTCAAAATCGCTATTCCCAATTTGCACTTACTTTCTGTACTCCTTTATCTCAATAATCTCTATTACCCTATTTTTACATGTCCTTTTTTAACCGGGTTTATTTATGGGTGCATCATTCCCATGCATATTCTTGTGTTAGTATCTCATTGTTTTAAGACTGGAAATATAATTTTTTTTCAGTAAAGCTACCTATCCTCATTCCCATAAAATCACATTTCTTTAACAATGTTGACTTTGTAGCACTGTTCTATATTTCCTCAGGAACCTTAGGATTGTTATTCCTATTAAATACTATACAATGACTGGAATTAGATCAACACCAACTTCATTTAGGATTCATTTTGGTCTTTGTAACACTGTTATACTCCAAACCAAACCAAATGCATTGTCATGGAGTCAATTCTGGCTCATGCAGACCCTGTATGTTAGGGTAAAACTGCCCATGTGGAGTTCCAAGCCTGTAACTCTTACTGGAGTGCTTTTGAACTGCTGACCTTGAAGTTAGCAGCTCAACTTGTGATCACTAAAACCCCTTGTAACACTTGTCAATCTAATCAAACATATGCTGCTTTATATGTTTAATCCCTTACAAATGCAAGTCTGCTCTTTAAAACATTTGGAAAATATTGCTTACTTATATCTTCATTCACTTCTTAAAAGTTCTACATATATTTTGCTTTGTTTTTTTAATTTCCTCCCTCAAGACAACAAGCATATCCTTGGGTCACTATTATGTATTTCATTGTGTGTAGAATATAGTTTTTTTGGGTAAATTATCATTGTATTTGAATAAGTTAATCAAGTAATTTATTAATTACTATAGTTAATGGCAGATTTTTCTAAGTTGTCCTGGTAACATTTATAACAAATTGGAATCTTCACATATTTTCTCCAGCATTATTGTTTTGATTTTGTTTTCTATCCAATTGTAATTCTTAGTGTTTTAAATGCTGATGGGATTTAGTTTATATGCTTTGCCTTCATTGCAGTAGACCTCCTAGCATTCACTTATTAAATGTGATTGGGTGCCAATTACAAATACAGTAGAATCCAGGTCCTCGACAACATCAATACTCAACATAATCGGATTTCGACACGAAATGTCAAGAACATTTTGCATCGGAGCGCAAACAAAACATCAGAATCTGACCCAACGCATGTGGTTTTGTTTCAGGCATTAGTCGGCATTGTTAGTATGTGTTGCTTAAACCTTTTGTGGCAGTGTTCCAAGTGTTTTGCTATAATTTTCTTAGTTTTTGTGGCTTTTTGTACTGTTTCTAGATAAAATACATGGGTCCCATTTTGTACTGTTTTCAGATAAAAAAATATGGGTCCCAAGAAAGAGTTTTTTAAAAGAATCATCTTGATAAGGAACTGATTAACCATGTTATCGATAGTGATGATAATTTAGTCAACCCTTTTAGAAAACAGTTAAGGAAACACCAACAGCTGACCACATTAGACAGGTTTTGTTTGTTTGTTTGTTTTTAAGAGAAAGCCAGCCAGGTCCTAGCGAAAAAAGGCAAAGGCAAAAAAACTCCAGAAAAGCAGCAACCAGTTGATTTTGTGGAAGGGGATTCCTCTTGCAAACAATGACTTGTTTTCCATCCCTCCTCTCCACATCCGTGTCCACAGATCCAGATCCTCTTCAATCTCAAGGTATGGGCCATACTATAGTTGTTAAAAAACTTTTTAAATGTTATGTTTCTTATTTAAATTGTATTATTTAACTCTGAACTTATTTACTTTGAAATTTCTGTGTAACGTTTTGTATAAAAAGGCAAAGTTAGGGTAAAAACTTTTTGGTTGAGAATGTATTGATCTGTTTTCAGTTTTTTCTTATGGGAAAAATTGGTTCAGAACTCGATGCATCACATCTTGACGCTCATTATAGAATGGATTAGCATTGAGGTTCAGGGTTATACTGTAATGTCAGAATTCCTCATAGTGTTTATCTGGCAATCTCTCAGTTCTTGTTATTTTACTTTTTAAACTTTTTAAAGGAATAAATTCTGGATTTTCTTGCATACTTTAAAATTAGCTTTTCTTGTATAACCTGGACATCATATATATTAATAAATTCCAAATAGAACTTTGCTTTCAAGGTAATTTTGCAATAATTTCTAGTCGTTAAATGTCCCCCTGCTATCAGCTCATCCTTTTCTCTGCCCCTATATATTAATAGTTCATTTCTTTTTTATTGTTTAATAATATTCCATTGCATGAATGTACTACAATATGTGTATCTATTCTCCAATATTTAGCAGATTTATTGACATATAATTCATGCACAATATAATTCAGTGGTTTAAATATATTTTTGAAAGAGTTGCTCAATTATCACCACAGTCAATTTTAGATAATTTTATTGATACTTGAATTATTATTAGATCCCTATATCTCCCTAAACTCTCCTGTCAGGAACACAAGAAACCATTAATTTAGTTACTGTCTCTATAGATTTACCTATTCTGAATTTCATAATAGAAAATCATGTAGGACCCCTCCCACAAAACAAAAGAAAACAGAAAAATAATTAAAACTAGAAAAAATTAAAAATGAGTCAAAAGGGAAAACAAAAGAGATTACAATATAACCTATCTCTGCATTAATTTACTCTCTGATGCACTATGCCTGAGAGCAAGGCTACTTTACTACCCGGTCGGTGGTCCAAGGGAATTCAATAGAGGCTCAGTTCCCGTGGAGTCTCTGCTTGCTGCTTATCTTGACCCCACCTTTTCCCTCACTACTCCCTGGCATTCTCGTGGGCTTGTACTTAAACAACACTAAGTTTGAATGATTATCTTTAACATTTTTAGATTCACAAAATGCACCAAAGATACTTCAAAGGTTTCGAAAGTGGTAGAGAAAAGAAATTTCTGAAGTCCATGTGCATAGTCACATATTAGAGTGTCTAGCCCATTCTACCAGTTTGTTTGCCATTCCCAATGCTGAGGCGTGGATTTTTGGTCAAAGTTATAATACGGTGAGTTTATTGTCTCAACCTACCAGACATAGGTAATGTTTAGTGCCATTAGCCAAGTAATTTGATTGCCAAGGCAATGCTGAGTGAAAGCAAAATGCTGATGTGCAAGACGGAACAGTCCACCACGATTTATCAGCAGATGTCAAAAGTTTAAAAACACAGGGGGGAGAGGGAAACTAAATTTCTGTGGAAATGATGGAATAAAAATGAAATTATTTAAAGCTAGCAGTAATTAGGTGTTTTGTAGCTGGTAACAATTTCCAAAGAAAAGCAGGAGATGCCTCATTACATGCCTTGGAAACAATGTTCTTAAGATGTACACAAAGCTTAGACGATAAGGAAACAAATCCTCTAGGATCCCCAAGGGAGAATTTGAATAACACATCTTTCTAGTTTTGACTTGGCTTTCCTAGTAAAATGGCCCCTTGGATGCTCCCATCTCTTCCATCTAAACTCTTCCACAAACACCCAGTCCCTTTGGTCTCCTTCCTGATAATTTATTAATAAGCCATCATATAAAAAGTGTTCCTTAATAAAACACCCAGGCATTGTGGACTGTGTAATGTAGTTAATTTAAGTGGGCAACTGAGATTCATGTAGATGGCCATATTAGATTAGAGGAGCGATTAGCATCGCTCTAACGCTCTGCTGAAGAATTCAGCGGCCTAGGCTGCTCTTCACAGATCTGGGTTCAGACAAGAGTTTTCAAACACCTGTCTTGAATTGTCATGCAACCATACAGACAAGAGGCTTCTAGAAAACAAAAATAAAAATAGCATTAGCTGGGAACAAGAAAGAGCTGCAGTGTCTTTCTATCTGTCTCTATTCTTCACATACATGCCTGCCCTAAACCCTCAACCGGTTTTGATATCAACGCAGGAGCCAATACTGCTGGGCAATTTGTTGAGAAAAATATAAGACATTTAAAACAATTATTTAATTTCCTCTATGAGGAAAATACAAACCAATAGGCAAACAATCTAACACAGACCCACACAGAGAATTCAATCAAATAGCAAGAGCCAGAACAATGGGTGGCTATTTGTTGGTGAATCATGCACTTGGAACTAGAAAGATTGGTATTCCTTTTAAAGAAGAAAATGTCAGGACCATTGGTGTTTACATAGGGAAACACCCAAATCGTCTTCTATTGACAGCGTATGTTTCAAAAGGGTTCCGACCCATGGAAAATACGTAAATATTTTTCATATGCCATAGTCATGTTTGGCAAAGTCATTTGGTGTTCAGACCCACTGGCTTCATGTTTTCTGAGTCATGGGTAGGATAAGACCAAAGCATTGGTTTGGGGCAAATGTTTATCTCTTCTCTATTTGGCACCCATGCTAATGGAAATTTAACAATAGAGCAAGTAAGATTATCTGGTACAATCCACAAAATAGGCGAATAATACATTTTGCTAAAAAAATATGATTAAATAGCAAAGCAGAGTTTAACAAAGCCTACTTATTTCTTGAGGGTCCTATGTTCAATATCATTTTCAGAGTTAGAATTTGGCAACTACACCCTGTTCTTTCTCAGATTTAATAATGTTGCCAAACTGGCAGCTTTGCAATAGCTAAGGGAAAGATTATATGCCTATAGTCTATTTTCTCTTTCTCCCTGCATCAAATTCAAATGCTAAACCAATAATCTGCTGAGGGGAAAAATACAAATGTCACCTTGACTAATTGGTAATAACTGAGTAGATCGACTGGGTTTGCATATTTCTCTGCTAGGGTGTAATTTCCTTGAGAAGAAGGCAGGCAGGATAAGGAAGGGATTGTAAACATATTTGCTGCAGAGAAGGACAGCCAGGGGTAGAAGGAGGTGATGGCTCACCCACAATTGGTGTCTTTTTGGGAAATCGTCCCCATTCTCCAGATTTACCTTCTTCTTCTTTCAAGGAAGCTTCCTTCTTATGCTCTACTTGGGATCCTTGGCGTTTGGTTAAGACAGGGATGTGATTCCTCGGATCATTTGTCTGGGACTCAGAAGTCTCTTCAGCTTTTGTTTCTGTATTAATGAACACACACACAAATCAGGTGATTGGCTATTTTGTTTGTTTGTTTGTTTATGTCTTATTTGTTAGAGGAAAAGTGCATTTTTATTAGTGGGCCCTCTGCATTAAGTGCTTCCTTTTTATCTCTCCCCTAATGATTGTGATCTACAAGGGACCCCTTCAAAAAGTTCACAGAAAACGCCGTTATCTTTTAATTATATTTTGACATGAAATTTTTGAAGCTTCTTTGTGCAACGAGCCCTGGGGGTTTCGTTGAGCTGCTAACCACATAGTCAATGGTTTGAACCCACCAGTTGCTCCTCAGGAGAAAGAAGACGCTGTCAACTCCCACAGAGATTTCCAATTTCACAGACCCCAACACAGCTCTACTCTGTCCTCTTGAGCCAATATCAGAATTGGCTTGATGGCAGTGAGTTTTGCTTTTCCTTTCCATAAAGACAATATAGAATGCATGTAAGATATTTGAAACTTTTACTGTTAGTGGTAATTGAGTTGGTTCTGGCTCACAGCGGCCCTATGTAGAATAGAGCGAAATACCACCCAGTCCTGTGTCATCTATAATTGCCATGTTGAGCCTTAAGAAATATCAAATAAAACCCTATATACCAACCCTCAGCCTTAAGATATAAAACTGTGCTTTCCAATAGCGTAGTCATCAGGTAGCTAATGAACCCTTGAAATGTGGGCAGTTCAAATCGAAATGGGCTTTAAGTTAAAATATATACCTGATTTTCAAGACTTCGTAAAAATAATGTAAAACAATGGATGTTTATATACTGATTATATGTTGAGTGCATGCATTTTGATGTGTTGGATTATGACTATGACCAAAGTAAACGTGAGGAGCTCCAGTGCGTAATGGGCATGTCCTGGGCTGCTGAACACAAAGTCAGCAGTTCAAAACTACCAGCCCCTCCAGGGAAGAAAGATGAGACTTTCTGCTCTCATAGGAGTTACAGTCTTATAAACCCCCAGGGGTAATTTTACCTTGTAGGGTCACTGTGATTTGGAATTGTCTCCATTGCAGTGAGCTTGGTTTTAAGTTTCTACTTTATATCTGCCTTAGGCTGAATTTTCTTCACTTAGAAATCCCAAACCAACCCTATTGCCAACTAGTCAATTCTGACTCATAGTGACACTGTAAGACAGGGTAGAAATGTGCCCTAGGGTTTGAAAGGCTGAAATATTTTATGGATATCTCTGATGACATGGCTGATAGGTTTTAATCACTTTCTGTTATTAAATCACTACTGAGCACTAACTACTGTTTTGGCAGGGCTTCTTTTTCTTCATACAATTCAACCAACATCGAATAGATTAAGCGTAGAAGCTGTCGCGAGAATCTAGTTGATTTCTATTAAGACACATATAAAAGACATTTTACAACTACACAAATCTGTAGCAAAAGCCACACTGTTCATGAATTTTCTTTTTTTGCTGGCAGGTGGGGATGGATTACAGTTTTGAAAAACAAAATATATGCATTACATCAACGTGTAATGAATGTGTTTTTGCTACTTTAAATTAAGTAACTAAAAATTGTTTTCACTTCTAATTTGGAAATATTGATTGATAGAATCCATATAGCCTAAAGCTCTTTGGGGTTCTGATGAATTGTTAAGTGTGTGAAGGGGGCTTGAGACAAGACTATTAAAAGGACAGAATATTAATAACCAATTCGACACAGGTACCACTTGTCTATCTGTTCACACTACCAGAAGGTTTATAAGTTGAAGGATTTGGGGGAGGTTGAAAGACAGTTAACTTCTCTGATTCTAAAGTAACGCTTGCAGATGTCAGAAATTTGAGAAATACAGAAAGATTTAAAAAGAAAATAAAAGTGACTACTGTGAATTTTTTCACAAATGGCCTTCTGATTCTTTCAGTGTGTATTTTTTAAATATAACTAAGAGTCTGTGTCCAGTCATGGAAAAAAAGGAAGGATGTTTAACACATGGAAATATGTCTACAGGGAGTTAAGATTGAAAGTGCCAAATGAGAGCATGGAGGTAATCAACATATCAATAAGTGTGAAGCATCAATCTCTAAGACCAGAGACAAAAGGATAAGGCCGCAGCATGGCTAGTAGGTTTATTTAGAAAAATGAAGAATGAGCATTACTCATTTTTCTATTTCACAAGGTAACATGATATAGAAAAGCTTGCAAAGTCTGCTTACCAAGCAGAAAGCACTACAAAGCAAACAAAAACTAAGTCGCAAGAACCCTAGATTAAAAATAGTAACACACTACCAACACCACCACCAAACCACAGACAATACCGAGCAGAACCAGGGTGAGATCTTATTCTTTCTCCAAAAGACAAAAGGCGTCTTCAGCTTGCCTTGTGAGTTCTACAGCCCCGGCCACTGGACAGGAAGAGAAGGAGGTGAACAGAGAGCGAATGCCTCTGTGGCTTGACTCCCTGCTTGTCTGCTCACCAGGAGGCTGGGGCAGAGTCACCAAGAGTCAGAATGTCCTCAAGGCAATTGGCTTGGTTTCCTTTGAATTGGATGGAGCTTCCTTTCCTCCAGCATCCCTTGGCATTTAATTGCAATTGAAAGAAGCACAGCGGGGTAAGAACCTACCCAATATTCCCACAACAGAAACCGAGAACACAAAATATCCTTGTGTGAATATAATGCACAAGGCCATAGAATTAAGAATGCTAGAACTACGGTTGCCTTTGGAGAGCTACTTGTCCCAAACGCTCATTTTCCTTGTGCATAGCCTAGTCTAGCACAGTGGAATGTCCAACCAAATTAAAAGAAAGAGCAGAGTTACCTTTGACCTAACTCAGGATGATGGAGGCTTGGATGGAAATTTGAACAGTGGCTGTTTAAGAGCTACGTGACAATAGCAGATGAAAAACAACAACAACAAAACCCAACAACAAAATGAGTTCAGTAACACAATATTCTCATAAACACGCCATTCTTTCACTTTAAGAAAGACTTGCCTCCTAGATGTCCCAACCCCTTTGATCCCTCTCTTCTTTGACTCCCAACAACCTTAGGCTGTCTTCCACAAGGATGCAGACATGGAGACAGGAGTGAAGTCAGAGTGGTAGTCATATACGTTCATGCCAACGTGAAGATATATAATAGTGTATGTGTGGTTTTCAACCTGTCAGTCAGGTCACAGCCTGATGGTGACCCCTTGTGGGCATAGCCTTCACAGAAGGAGGGTCCTGGGAACCTCCTCCTCTCACTCTGCCTTCACCTTCCTGCTGGCAAGGCACTCTGGGAGCTGCAAGAGTCCTGTGATCCTTCTACTGCCACCGGGTCTACACTCTGCACCCACCTGCCCGGGACCTTTCTGTCTTGTATATCATTGCATGTGGCTGGGTGAGTCTGAAGAGGGACTTATGGACTAGTATCAGACTTGATTTGATCTGGACTGGGATTTTTGCTTGATATATAATTATTTCTTGATATAAAGCTCTCTCTTACACATACATGAGTGTCACTGAATCTGTTTCTCTAGTCAACCCGACCTAACACATTATTGACTCTTTCTTGTTCTTTATTTCATGGATATTATTCTCATCTCATCACCAGATTGTTATCTTCATGAGAGCGAGGCCCATCCATATCTTTCAGAAAATACCAATAGTACCAGGAACTGAATCACACCCACATAGCGCTGACGGGTCAAACAGGATTTATTTATATGATTACTGGGAGCCAGAGACTGGGCTTGGAACTTATATGAAGCTTCTCTTGCCTCCACAGGGATGTTCAACAGAATGAGGTCCTCACCATTTTCTCTCACTATGCTGATCCTCTCAACAAAACAATATGCGACACTGGAAATGTTACCCTGGTTCCTGATGTGGTGACTCTAACTATATGGTTGTTGTGGTCCAAAGTACTTCTGTTAAAGGGAAAGGAGCAGTTTAGTCTCTTTTCTGCCCCAAATGTATCCCAATTAGATTTCCGAGGTGCATGATTAAAATTAACTATGCAAAGATGATGGCCTCTCTATATTCTCTCATTCATTGCCTGTCAGAAAATGAATATATCCGATGCTGCTTCACCAGTGTGCATTGTTTACCAGTGAAGGATCCAATTAGGGGAGCTTGTGATCATCTTGTACTATCTGAGTGGGTTAAGCCTCTCTAAGTCTGAGAAGCCCACTTGACCATATCCGTAATCACAATCTCCAATATTAGCCTCATTAATAATCAAAGGGGGTTCCAGTGACCGATCTCGGGTCCTCCAAAGGAAAGAGGGAACAGATGATTTTCCTCTTCTCCAGCAAGTGCCCAGACGATAACTAGAGAGCTGTAAATTCTTTATCACGGATTATCCAGGTGGGAAATAGGAGCTGAAGATAGAACTGAGTGTTAATTAAAGACCTTGTTAAGAGTTTTTCATTAGAATCTACATTGGCTCAGGAATTCTGACTGTGCAACAGTTAAGCACCCATATGCTAACCTAAAAGTCAGCAGTTAGATCCCACCATATATCTACTCCGTAGGAGAAAGAGGTGGCAATCCACTTCCATAAGGATATGCCACCTTGGAAAACTTACGGGAGAGTCCTACTCTGTTCTGCAAGGTCACTATACAATAAATCAGCTCAAAGGCAATGGTACGGTTAGATTAAAGGCCTATCACCCAAGGTATTTCTGGGATAATAAACAAAGCAAAATCCATTGTCCAGATACTCTTGCACCTAGCAAGTGCTCATAACATTGCTATTTTCTGAATACCTGTTTGCTATAATAAAATTGTGAAACACTATTTTGCAAGATTGGATGCAACTTTAAGATTCTCACAGCATTTTCACTTGAGAAAATGAATTTACCATCTGCACCTCTCTCTTACACCGCTTCATTTTACAGATGGGGCAACTGGAGCAAGACACGGTTAAATGGCTTGTCCACAGTCATCCAGACCAAGAAGAAAGGCTGGATTTAAACACGGGTCTGATGTCAACAGCCCGGCCCTGTGCCTCATCTGCTGGTCTCCGTTAGCACAAAATGATTTCATGATAGTGTTGATGGTGCCACTGAATTTCCTACTTTTTCATTTAGATGTACACCAGAGCATACGAATTTATATAAGCTATTTGATGAAGGTAGCTTTTGAAAGCAGCTGATAATGTTCAAAATATTATATGGAATGAAAAGCTGGAATCATTTTTACCATTGCGTTTTTTGAGGAAATCATTTGAAAAAGCAAAGGCAATCACAACAAAAAAGCCAAATTACATCCAAAAGCGTCACCTGTGAGACAGGATAAGGGATCATTTTCTTTGCGGTGGGTCGTTTAACTAAGTAGCCTTTTCCTTTGAACATAAAATCTAAACGTTTTAAAAGTCTTTTCATTTTTCCTAAGTAAAATGAAGTACGCGTCCATTTTTAAGACAAGTAGGTGGCAGTTAAGAAACCCTGGTGCTGCAATGGTTCAGTGCTCAGCCGTGAATGAGAAGATTGGCAGCTTTGAACCCATTAACCCCTCTGCAGGAGAACATCTAGAGATGTGTTCCCATAAAGACTAAAGCCTACCAATGCTTAGGGAGCAGTTCAGTCCTATAAGGTTTCAATACATTGGAACCAGCTCAATGGCACATGACAACAGGTGGCAGGTATTTCTTGGATCTAAGACGGGGCTAAGAAAGAACACTGTCTGTCCCTAGTAGACCCTGCTGAGAGGATTGTGCTGCCAGGCGGGCTGGTGACTAGTAGCAGCCCGTCTACAGAAGTGGTGCGAAGTTTACTTCCTGTGCTGTCTACAATTAAGCCGGGCTTAGTGAGCCTCCAGCCTGTCACCTAGTGAGCCTCTCACTGGCCCCAGAGAGTGAGGCTGTGGTTTCCCTCCGATGGACCTTCAGGAAGTGAAAAGGCCATGGCTAGTGAGAACCTTCTCAAAGCACCTTCACTTGAGGAATTCACTTTGCCACGGGGACCCCTGCCTTACAGTGTGTCCAACAGCCTGGGCTGGTGAGGAAGCTACAGTACATCAAGCATGCTGTTTGCCTCACTTGACACAATATAGGAATAGCAGAGCAAGAACTAAATGTCAGTTCCAGATTGCACTCCTACGCGGGAGTTTTTAAAGAATGTTTCTTCTTTTGAAAATGTTTTCCAATGCCCAAAAATAGTCACAAGAGAGAACTTTTCCCTATGAGGTTACAAGTGTCTAGAAGAGGCTATCGTGTCTGGGCTGTTAATCACATGATGGGGTAGGCAATGCAATTCCTTTTCATTGCAGGTTATACTAAATTCGTATCATTTCTTCCGTAAATGTGTCAACAAGGACAAGAAACAAGAAGGCAGTCTACTTCCAAGGGTGATACGGTGGGACTCAGTGGCAGAAGTTACTAGGGGCACCATGAGGCTTTCTTTGACTTTCTCTGTTTCTCCTTGTTTTGCATCTTTTATACTCACTCCGCTGATCACTTTGGTCTCCTAGTATCACGAGTGTTTCTTCCACCAATTCAGTGGTCTGGAATGTGGAAGCATGTAGGATACCAGAATGTCCATCGCCTGACCATTGCCTTTCTTTTCTCCACTCTAAGCTCAAAGTACAATGATCTCAAGAAGCCTCCTTCACACAACCCCTTTGTCTCGGTAGTTCTTTATGTCTGCAGCTCAAAAGTTGATCTCCTGCTTCTGGGAAAATATTCAAGGACCTATTTATGTTCTACACTTCTGGAGAAGAAACCCCGAGCTTTCTCTGAAGTAGAGGAGGACATTTCCCCCAATTCTTTACTTGCCTTTTGTTGGGTCCTCTAGGCTAGTGAAACACAGAGTTTCACAATGTGGTATCAAAAACCAAACTGTCTGATTTCTTCAGAGCTATGTGTCTTGGGCAAGTTACTTAACCTTCTGTGCCTTATTTTTCACACTTATAATAGAAGAATAACATTTAGCACTTACCTTAAAGATTATTTTTCACAAGATACAAATACATTCATGTACCTCAAATACTTAGAACCTGGCCCCCAGTGAGCATTTAATAAACATAAGTATGCATTATTATTGCTATTCTTACTTAAAAGTGGGTAAATCTCCTTCCTACTCTTAATAAAAACCACTACCATCAAGTCAATTTCTATTTGGAGCAGCTGTTAGCTTTGAAGCACCAACCTTGTAGTTAGTAGCCCAACGCCTCGCTGCCAGGGATTCGTTTTTCTTTACTATAGGCATTGAACAATGTAACGCCATGTGACTTATATGTTACAGTCACAGACATCTCTCTTTGGGGAAGAAAATCCATTTATTTGACACGATGGACTTTTAAATATATTTTCATTAAAAAAATAATAAAATGAAACAAAACCATGTACTTCTGCTTTTGCTTTTCCTAAACCAGCAGCACACCAGACAGCATAGAGCCAGCCACGAGACCGCTGAGCACAGGGCAGCAGCCAGGAGGACAGCCGACCTCTCAGACTGAGTCACAGGCAAGACAGCAAAGGCCCTGGATCGAGCTGTAAAGTTGACTCCTGGAAAGAAACAAGCAAACAAAAGAATAGTCATGTAAGAATGATATGCTAATGTATGAAAGGAACCCTGGTCCCTAAAGGCATGACGGACTAGACTACTTGTTGGGCTGCTAACCAAAACTACCAGCAGCTCTGTGGGTGAGATAGTTAAGGTTTAGTGTGCCAACATGGCCAATGAACACATGTGAGATTAATTGAAGGGCAGAGAGAGAAATAGCTCAGCGGGCCTCGCCTCTCTTATCTCTTGCCCTTTGGTGATCAGACCAGTGTGCAGCTGCCTTGCTTGTTCTGTGCCTCAATTTGCAAGCTACACTGCCTGTGGGACATCTAATCCATGGACTGTGTTGCTCTAATTTGAGGTTCCTTCAAGACCTGCTTCACCACACAATTGGAATTTACATCTCTGGTCTGGACAAGAGTATTGAAAGTATGGATTGCTAAAAGGCCAAATAAACCCGTCTTGGAAGAAGAAAAGCCAGAGTGCTCCTTAGAGGGAAGTATGCCAAGATTTCATGTCACGTACTTTGAACATATTGTCAAGAGAGACAAGTCCCTGGAGAAAGACACCATCCTTGGTAAAGTGGAGGCGCAGCGAAAAAGAAGGAGGCTCTCTATGAGATGGATTGATATCATGGCTGCAACAATGGCACACAACAATAACAACAACATAATCTCAATATATTCACTTATCCAGAAGTAAATACTCATTTGTGCTCAGGGTACTCCAGACATTTCTACACCTTAAAGATATGCCCCTGGACTAGACAAAATAAGTTCTGCATTTGGGAACTTAGGTTCTCAGGGGTGACATAGCACACAGGAAAGTGACAATCCAGCAAATACCTGGATATCATAATTCTGGGTGGCAGACCCTGGGTGGCAAAAGGGTTCTAGTCCATAGAGAGGTACCTGAGAAGAGAGGTCTTGAAATACACTTGTGAAAAGTCAGCATTGAAAACCCGAGGGAGGACCATCTCCCTGACACACAGACTTCACATGGGTTAGCGTCGCCTCCACAGGAGGTGTTTAAAACTGCAGGTAATGACAAGTGCCCAAAAGAAGATGAAAAATGGATCAGGTGGCAGAGAATGATTGGAGGTGGAGATGAAACTAGTGATGATATTTTAGACTGAGTGACCCAGGTAACTCCTTTCTGAGGTAACATTTGAGGAAAGGCTTGAATAAATTGATGAGTGATTCGTGTGAATTGTTGGGTAAAAGAATATTGCAAGCAAGGAAACAGCAAAGCCAAGTCCATTGAGTTTCTGTACTGATTGGAGGTGGAGCTCTCCTGTCGGTGCTGGTTGGGGGTGGAGCTATCCTGTCGGTGCTGGTTGGAGGTGGAGCTATCCTGTCTGTGCTGGTTAGGGGTGGGGCTCTCCCTAGCACTCTCAAACCCATCTAACCTCAGTAGCCCGTGAGGTCACGAGAACTCCACAGATCTGGAAAATGGTTAGAAAACTACAGCTGACATCATGGTACTGTAGTGATGGAGAGGGGTTGGGGTGGAAGAGCTGAATAGAAAATCAGGGGGCGCACATTCTAAAGGCCATATCCGAGGGCTCCTATATGGATCCCACTAGTTGAACTAGACTCTACTTGTAACTTGAGGACTTAGGGCTGAAATTACAGGGTGTATCAAGAAGCAGAAGACAACTACACCAAAAGTATTGAACTGTTAGTGGATTAACATTTACTTACTATTCCAATGCCCTACTTGGTGTACTAAGCTATGTATTATTCTGGCAGACTTGTGACTGATATTGTCAATGAATATTATTGTAAGTTTCCCTAACCACCAACTCCCATTGTTCATGTAAATAGTGTGCATGCATGTGAGGATTTATCCTGTACAAGTGAATACTACAGGTATTATGATATGTAGCTAGCCTACACTCCCTCTCTCAATAGTGTTTTAAAAGCTAGTACCATGGGGTAATCAATGACATTATAAACAGAACGCCCTTATGCCTTGGGGAGATGATTGATCACATTCTCTATCAAGTAAACCAGAGTCAACAACAGGAAGCCTAGATTCAGGAATGGATTTGGGGTTCACACTTAATGCTAGCTCCAATCTAAGAAAAAAAAAATTTACTAGAGGACGTTTAATATTTCTGTACTGGTCAAATGGAACACAGGTGGGGGTACACGGATGGAGGCTTGGGGGACGCCACTCAGGAGGGGTGGCTTTTGTGATGGGCTGTGTGGGGGGTCTTGGGAGATATCCAAGGAGTCTTCTCGGCAAAGGGTCCTAGCCTGGAGTGCAGGGGAGTTGAGCACACCCAGTCTTGCCCTTAAGTTGGGGTCCTACATAGGGGGTCTGTGGAGGGTCTCTGTTTCTAGCTCCATTGCTGGAATCCACACTTCCAGCGTGATGGGGGACTTGGTCCTAGAGAGGGGTCTGGAAGGCACCCTAGGAGCAGCCTAGGGTGGGGACTAGGGTGCAGGTGCCCACTGCCAAGGGGATGTGGACCCTG